AACAAAAAACCCTGGATTTTTAAAAGAAGATATTGATGAGTACAAACTGAATTTATTATATGCAGTACAAAACAATTTACACTGAAATGATTTCCAGAATCATAACAAAAAACCTATGTGGTTGAGTTACAGGTAACGGAAATTCAAATTTTACATGCTAGCATGTTGGTTTTATATATTTAGGCATAAAGGGCCGTCAAGTATTACGTAAGCACTATAGGGGGGCTGGGGGGGGGTTATTTATTTGCTTATTTGTTTAGTTGGGTAAGAAATTTGCTTACTTTTGCTGACAAAGAGGAGGGGGGGGGGTAAGTAAATAATTGTAATAAATCTGCTTACGTAATACTTGAACGATCCCTAACGAGTTTTTTTTTTATATTTCAGTACAAGAGATATCGATCAAAGGCTAGGTACTTTCAAAAAGATTTAATCTCACAGGAAATGACGTGCATTGGCAAACGCACAGCCACGACTCATAACATATAGTATGAACTCAATCAAAGAAAATACTTTTACAATTAAAGAAGAAATGGGGTTTACAGATGATGAGATGAAAATTTTATTATTGAGGAAGCCGCGAATATGGATGCAAAGTAAGAATTATTAAATTTTTGGATTAAAGATCTATTCATTATATTTTGTGTGAAATTATAATATTTGAATAATTTCAGATAGATTTAAATTACTAGCAAAATTTGATTATATTCACAATACTATGAAAATATCACATAAACATATATTAGAAATGCCAGAAATATTTTATGCAAGAGAGTTTATAATTAAGCAAAGGGATTCGTTCTTGAGACATTTAAATCGCAATCAATATGATTGCACAAAACCTAACTACGTGTCTTTAAAAGCTTTGATTGAAGGAACTAATGAAGAATTTTGCATTAATGTTGCTGGTACACCTGTTGAAACTTTTAATTTATACCTCAAATCTTTATAGACAATGTTTGAAAATATTTGGTTAAGAAATACATTTATTGAATAAAACTATAATAATTTTTTTTTATTAATATAATGTAGTTAATATATGTTTTATAGGCCATTTGAAAACATTGAACAAGTTGAGAAACCAACTCACATTCTACTTTAGAATTTGACTAGATTTTATTGAAAATATGCAACAGTCCTTTAAGACTAATTACAGTCCTTTTTTTTTCAAACTCAAAAACTCTCCAAAAATTTGATGAGGTTGTATTTATTAACTTCCCATAGGGTAAGTTAATAAATACAACTTTTTTGAGCTTTTAAACATTTTAAATTACGGTTCGGGAAATGCCATGGCACCACTACTTTTATAATGTTTTGGACTATATGCTTAAAATAATTTGCTTAGTGCTTGAAATAATTTCGAGCAGGTTCCCAACAATTTTGGAGGGCACATAGATAAGTAAACATGGAGGGCATGTTTATTTCTATGTAGTACAACACACATACTAAAGATGTCCGCGGATTTTTGCCACTTCAACCGGTTTTGTAGGCCTATTTAATATTTTAATATATTAGTTTAGTGTAATTGAGTGGTTTAGACTCTACCAGCTTACAAAATTTCATCAAAATCATAAAAATATCTACGATTAATTATGAATATGGCCCCGGCCGATCTTAACTAAAAACTAATCATCATCAATGATTTACCAACTGATGTCTTTCGAACGGTTTTCACATTTTCAAAATCGGTTGAAGATTTTTTGCATAAAACTTTATTTTCTCTACCTTTCAAGTAATTTTGAATCGAATGGGACCAAATTTAAAAAAAAGTATGTGTGTGTGTAATTTGTATGCATATGCGTGAGTATTTAGTCCAATTTTTGACCGTTCATCAACGTTTTTTCAAAAATGGATGCTACGCTTATTTTTCTTCAGCTTTCAAAAATTTAAAAGCCATTCGACCCAACTCAATTTCAACACCAGCTCTTTGTAATTAGCAGAATAGTGTAAAAAAAATTGTCCACGTTTTAGCCCACAATTATGAATCGATTTTAAAAATTCAAAAAACTGTTCGAAAGATATTATGGTTGAGAATCGTATTGATTATTTGGTAAAGATCGGCCCATAGATAAAAAAAAATATCGGCCGGGCCATTTCTTCACAATTAAATTTTAATTTATTTTGACGATTTTGATTTGTAAAAAAAATTAAATTTTTCAAGTATTTGCCAAATATTTTGTCAATCTCATTTTTAAGTTTTCCAAAAATTTTAGGCTTATTTAAAAATTTTGATTTTCAGTACGGGAAGTTCCAGAAATTTGCCTTAAGGCACGATGCCATGCACCGCTAGTTTGCAACAATTCAACAGTTTAATTAAACTCTTCGCTGCTTGATTTTGAGGTTTCCAATTCCCGGATGCTCTAAAGCGAGTTGAAACATTATGTAGTGTCTTGTCTAGGTCTCAAAGTACAAAAAAGACACTATGCTCGAAACTATCGATGCCCATGCCCAACCGAGTCAAAATATTAAATCTATGGCGTAGTAGCTCTCTTGCTCTCTGTGTTGATCAACAAGAATTTGTGATCACCCTGCTTTTTTGTTGAAAACGAAAACCCTTTGAAAACTGTCAGATTTGTTTCATCTGTGTTTTCGTCCTGTTTTCTTGTTATTCAAGTATCAAGTAAATCTATTCCTATATTTTAGATATATGAAATTTAGCAATTTGATCGAATTCTGGTCTTGTTATCTCTTAATGCAAAGCAAAATAGCTTATTTACATAACCTATTAAAATGTCTGATTTAATCGATAGCAGCTCAACTGATCTCTCTAAACTAAAGGTGAATAAAAATTTTATCTATCATTATACGATTTCACTATTTCGTTATATAAATGGTATAATTACAATTGCTCATTATTAAAATATCAGTACCATGTTTTTGTGCCGGTTTCTGTTTATAAAATTTACTGAAGGAAAGACGTTCATGGTCTCTATTTAGTTAAACTTTACGAGTTTCCTTGAATTTTTCAAGAATAACACATGTTAGTTTATTTATTTTTGCCTTACTGGATGCGTAATTGAGCTTGAAATGTGTGCCTGACATGTTTTTTAGCACACAATTGTTTTATTTGCTACTACATACATATTATGTGGTCATTCTTGAGAATTAGTTGTGAATATAAAATTAATTTATACGTTTAATTCTGTTACATAGTATGTTTAATAGTTTATGGTATAAATTATTGTTCCTTTATAGGTTGCAGATTTAAAAAAAGAGCTGAAATCAAAGGGATTAAGCACAAATGGAAATAAGAACGAATTGATAGAAAGACTCAAAGATTCTTTAACTAATAATGATCTTGGTAAATAAATTGGTACATCTAATTAGTTATGATTTTATCATTATATTATAATTTATGTAATGTGATATTTCAGATATAGCAGATGCCAAGTCTGATGTTTTGGCAGATTCAGCTATATTAGACGAAGATGTATTGAATGTAAGTATTTAAGTTCATAAGTGTATGATAGAAAGTTTGCATCATTTAGTTTTTCTTAAATATATAATCAAGTTGACAATATTATAAGGTTGCTTGGAAAGTCACTTCGTGTTTTTACCACCATAATTTAGTTCTATAATTATTATATGATTTGAAACCTTATATTTTAAGGCTTGTGTGTAACAAATTCTAATTAATTACATGCAGTAGTTTTTGGATGGTGCCACTTTGAATATGGAAAGAATTAAGCAGCATTTTTGACATATTTTACTCTTTTGCTATAGAAAAGGTAAAAAACTGTTTAAGTGAAAATGAAATTGATCGATGTGTACAGCAATGACCTGTTGAAAGTATGACAGTGCCAAAATTGGTTTGCTAAATTTCATTTCTGGTATTTTGATGTCCAAGAAGTATGGTTGGTGCTGATAAAGACGCGAGAAAGGCATTGGTTGATGCAAACAGGCAAATAACAATACATGAGATCCTATTGAGTTAAAAATGATCAAATTTAACAGTTTATGACCGCTCAAAAGGTCTGGGATTTTCCTCAAAACTCAATGTATGATTTCATAGAGAGAAAGATATTGTACTGCATCAGGTCAACCCAAGACCTCACATAAGTTTGGTCAATCGCCAAAAGCTTTTGAGGCTTAAATGGGACCCATTGATACATTCAGCATATTGTCCAGACCTGTTGTCATTGGACAATTATTTGTTTCGTTCACTAGTAAAATTTTTAGGCGGTAAAATCTTTACCTCAAATCAGCATGTCAAAAAGCACTTTGATCAGTTTTTTGTCTATAACGACCAAAAAATTTATGATCTTGGGGTTATTCAAATACCAGAAATATGACAAAAGATGTTTGATCAAAACTGCCAATACATAATTTATTAAAGTATTTGTTTATTTTACAAAAATTACGTGCCAAAATGTCTATAAAAAATGAAGTTACTTTCTGAACAACCTAATAGATTATAAAAAGATTAATCTTTACTAATTACAATATAAGATTCATGCAAATTACTGTAGTTGCATTGATCTCTTATTTGAATTATTATTTTTCATATTTTTTATGTTATAAAATAGGATGACGAACTGGAGGATAAAGAAGATGTTGATACAACTCCTCCAATTGAAAATACAATCACATTAAAAAGAACACATGATATGATTGAAGAAAAACATGAAGAAACTGACATCAAGGATAATACCGTAGAAGTTGAAACAACTGTTGAAAAACTTACATCGGAAGAACCGAGGAAAATAATCAAACTAGGCTCATATTCTGATAAAGAGGTTTGTTCTTAAACATTTTTAAGTAACTTAAAAAGGTTCATAAATTTGACCCTAATAATTAGATCTTATTTTTATCAACTTTCTTCAAATAATGAGAAATAATATGATATATTGCTTTGCACAAAAACATTTGAATTATTTTATTGAAATTTATTCTTCAGTTTGCATTTTGTTTTTACATTTCTATTGTAAAATACTTTATCTTCGGAATAACAGGCAAATTATAATCAGTTTTCAAAACTTAGATTTTTTGAATATTTATAATATTTGAAAAAAAAATTAGCTTACTTACTAACATTAGATTAAAAGATAAACAAACAAAGCTAATATAGTCAAGTATAAATAAAAATGAGTGGATTGTTATATAAATAATAAAATTATAAGTGAGTGGAATATATATAATTTATAATCAAAATTATAAATGAATGGATTATATACCAAAAAGTTAGAATGATAACTAGGTGTTTTTAAATAAACATGCTGAAAAGAGTGAGAACTGAGAAAATCTGCATGATAGATTATGCACTAAAAATGTTTTTAATGATAATTTCGAATATCACTAAGAACATTTTTTTTAAAATAAAATATGTTTTAGTTTTCTTTTATTAATTTTGTTTTTAAAAAATTAACAATTCTGTAACTAAATGTTTCTAGTAATATTTGTATTTTGTGTTTGCCATTTGAAGAAAGTAAAATTGTTCTTTCTATGTTAGAGGAATGCGATCTATTGATCAATTAATGATTTTGAATATGAACTTAAGCCTCTAGAGTCAATGTTTGTTTGTTTGTGTTATCTGATTCAGTTACAAGGGTGTGAATACTTAAAATGTTGACTTTAAATTTCGATGTCATTGATATATTAAAAAGAAACAAGAACAAAAATAGGAATATTGAAAATAAACCGACATAGAAAACTGAAATGAAAAAATTACTTCTTCACTTATTTGTTAAAAAATTGAGAAAATTTGAATAAGAATACAATAAGGGAAACAAATAGTGAATGTTAATTTATCTAAATTTGTTGCAGACTATATTATTTATAACAAGTAATGTTAAATAATTATTTGTTATCTGTTTTAAGCAAAATTTACTCCTGGAATTTTTTTCTTCACAAAGGGCAATTCGATTTGTAATAAATTTGATATTTTCTGGTAAAAACATATTGATGATCTATATTGGAAAAATATTTTTGATTGAATGAAGGCCAGTGAATAATAATTTTGAATATCAAGCTACAATAACTTATCATATCTGTTAATAGTTGTTTTATAATAAACGAGTTGGGAAAAAGAAGTTACTTTGAACAAATAATATTGAACAAACAAGGGTCTACAAGTACTAATAAGTAATATTATTACTTAAATAAGAATATTTTTTAACTTATTTTTTTTTGTCACAGCGTCTAGAGATGCGTGCAAAGAAATTTGGGACACAATTACCATCTGATATGAAGAAAGAATTACGGGCACAAAGATTTGGGCTGAACAATTCTAAGTCAATAGCAAAGAGTGAGGTAAGAATTGATTTAAGTTAAATATGACATTTTTAACAAATATATTGAATAATCTTCTTGTTTGATATTTGTGATTTGAAACTAATTTAAAAAAAAAAAAGATATTAAAGAACTGTTTAGGCATATGTCGCATTTTATTTATCTTTGTGAAGAAAAAAGAATATATTTTGCACTTAAAATTCCGATTTGCAATTTTTATATTTTGATGTTTCAAATTATTCTGAACATTTTACCACCATCTCAAATACATTTTACGACTATCTTCTTTGAAACATAAAGATATGCAAGAAATTTCATCTTTGATTTTTAAGTAAGTAAAAATTATTGATAGCATTGAGTCAAAAATTTGTAAAAGATTTAGCATATCTTAAAAATAATGAATGAATTATATGAGCGAAAGTTTCTGCATTTTTTTTGGCGAATAATTCAACTAAATTAGACAATACTACACGGAGTCTTTGTTGATTTATTGCAAATTAAACTTTATGAAAATCGAAAGAGAGCATTCTCAAATCACCAAAAATATGTACTTGATGACAAATATCATAAATATCAATTATTAGGCCAATTCTTTTCGTTTGCAATAACAATCGTTATTCACACAGCAGCATCTTCCAAACATATTTGTTTTTTAAACAATCAATTTCACACTCGTTTTTTGTGTTTCAAGCAACTTTGACCTTATTTGCAATTGTAAACAAATTAATATTTAAGATATTTGTGCCAACATCTGTATGCATAAGGAATATTTTAAGTCATCAAGTACATATTTTTGGTAAACCTGAAAATGCTCTTTTTGGATTTTCATTAAGTTTCATTTGCAATAAATCAATAAGGACTCTGTGTAGTATTGTCTAATTCAGTTGAATTATTCGCCAAAAAACGCAGGAACTTACGCTCAGGGTTCTTGTATATTTTTAAGGCTTTTTGAGTTTCAAAGGCTTTTGAACATTCTGGCATACTTTATAAGAAATACTATGTGTGGCGTGTGTGTGTATAGTGTTTCCATGCAATTTTTCGTCCACGATTTCGGGCGCACGCATCAACCGATTTAAATGATTCAAAAAACATTTGATTCGTGTTAATGGGGAGACATGCTAAATATATAATGTTATCTTTTCTCTCTTTTATAGGATGCAACCCTTGAAGTTTTAAAAAAGCGAGCGGAGAGGTTTGGAAGCTCCGTTTCGAAGAAACTTTCGGAGGCCGAGGCTAAAGAAAAGCTTGAGAAAAGGAAAGAACGATTCGGTTCAATTCAGAATACTAATGTAACAACATCATCAACTGATGTTAAAATAAAGCCTACAATGACAAATGCTGAAAAAGCCCAGCTACGATTGAAGAGATTCAATATGGGAGTCAAGTAAAAACAATATCTTTTTTTTGTAAATTGTTTAACATCAGAAAATATATGTATTATTAGTTTTTTTTTTAAATATCGAACGACGTTTTTTAAAATCCCAACTAATGCATATGTTATAAATTGAGTGTTTTTTTGCACCATATTGAATTACTATTTTTATATCTTTGTTATGGATATATTTTAATGATAAATGAATGAAAGATTGTATTAATGTAATTTATATATTATATAAATATGTTTGGTATTTGTGATGATTGATGATAACGCACTGAATAAATTTTCACTTGAAGTTTTTTTAAATAAAAATTTATAATTTATTACATATCAATATGAAGTAAAAAGAAATGTAAATATTGATTTGGAAAATCGACTGACATTCTGAAAGTTAGCTAATTCGCATTTTTCCTTTTTATTCTATCTCACTTTTTGTCATAACCATAATTATATCCAGTCAGGTCTGGATTGCATTATTTATAACAACCAAGATTAAAAAACTCGCATTTGATTATAAGTTTGTTATTAGTTTCAGATCAGTTTTTATTTATCATCTATAATGATTGAAATCCTATAAATAATCATAAATTAATCAAACAAAGTTATATCACAATATATACTTTATATATATTTCATCTCATATTCTTCGGATCTAAAGATTTGAACTATTTTAAATGGCAAATAAAATAATAATCAAATATCAATTATTTAAAACATATTAGTTCAAGAATAAATTTAACTAAAAATAATATATTAAAATTTCAGTCTGTTAGGTCTATTAAAAATTAATACATTTTAATTCCATAAATGTGAACTTCTTCATATTATTGTGGTTATTAATGGCAATTTAATAAAATCAAACCAATTAATTATTTACATCACTTTGTACATTTGGCATAACTTGCATTGTTTCTAGAATTGTTATTGATTCTCTGTTAAAAATATTTTGATGATAAAATTTTCTGAAAGTTCCTTTCAACGCCTGATGAACTTCTTGGTTCAGAAAGCAGAACAAGCATGAAACGCATATTCCCTGAAACATAAAAAATAAATTTATTAACTTACATTTATTTGATATGAAGAAAACATTAAAAGAGCAAGAAGTGCCAGAAATGGTATTTTTCGTTTTTGTGAGTTTTTGAGATAACGGAGCGTCCGATTTAAATAACTTAAAAAACATTTTACTAGTATTGACGAAATGAACAAATTGAACTTTACAAAATTTTTGTAAAGGTAGGTCTAGCGTCTCCGAAGATCCAATAAAAAAGTAAAAAATAAATCCATTTGGCGGTCAAAAATGATCATTAGACATGATACGATGAACATATGTACATCGTATTTTCAGATATTTTATAAAGATTATAATGATAAGTACAAATTTTGTGTATATTTATATGGGTTCCGTTACCTCGTTTACACGTTAGCCGACTACGCTAACTTGATATTGCGACGCCGAATCAGCTATTCAGCGCGATTGTTTAAAAAAAATGTTCAAAATTAAAAAAAAAAAACAAAATATAAGAAATCTAATTTTTCCAAAAAATAATAATATTACAAAACAAATAATATTGTGTAATATTTAAATAAGAGTGAAAGATTATAATAATTTTTGGGTAAAAAAACATATCAACAACACATTGCAATTCACCATATACAATGAAACACATGCTTTTAAACTGAAATTGAATTGAAGAAATGCATGTATATGTATTATAACAAACCTGTGAGCTTAATAATACAGACGAAACTATTTGATAAATCACTTCTGCAAACGTTCCAGTATTTGGTCTGAATGGAATGAGTAAATGCTGCAATCCAAATAGTGGAATCTGAAAACATCAAAGCATAATCAGGATTTGGAATTTAATAATTTCTTTCTGCATGCGATTCACGATACAATTTAATTAAGAAATTAAAATTACTTTTACATCGATGAAAATAATAACTGCATACAGGGCCGTGCCTGGGTATGTGGCCGCCTGCGTGCGAGCATATAAATGGCCGCCCATAAAAATAGAATAATAGGAAAATATCCAATATGTCACAAAAAATACGACTTTTTACTTTTCGCCAACGTTTTCTCAAAAACGAATTGAAATTGAATTGGATATTCAAAAGTTTAAAAGTCATTTGATGTAACTAATAATGACTAGCGTCTTTCAGTTTTGTGCGACGATCGGCCAAGCTGTTTCCAATCAACAGAAAAATATAAAAATTTTCGTACACGTTTTAGCCAAAAATTCTGCATCGATTTTAAAAATTCAGAAACTGTTTGAAAGATATCATTCAGGAATCGTGCTAATTAGTTCTGAGAGATCGATCGGGTCGTTTCTTCGTGTTTAATTTTTAAATATTGCTTTACAATGATATTTATAAAACTTTCTTGGCGATAGTGATCATGGTCTCAAAAATAACTAAATATTTCGACCCTACGGTGAGTCATATTACTTTTTAAAATACTATCAAATACTTTTTTACGTGAGTTAAAATTTAATTTTTATTCAACGTTTTCTTAAAAATGCACAATCCTATTTGAAAAATCATTGAAATTCGCAAATTCCATAAGCGCTCATGCTGGTTAGTTTTGCCTCATGATCGGCCGAGCCGTTTCTTTAGAATTTTCAAAAATGTCCAAATTTTTCGTCCGCGTTATAGCCTACATTCGTGAATCGATTTTTAAAATTTAAAAACCATTGCAAACGTTCTATTTGAGAATCGTGCTTAAATTTTGTCAATAATCGACTAGTCGTTTCTCAGTTATTGATTAACAAATTGCTTTGGAAATTTGAATCATGTTTTTAATTTACTACAGTTTGCTTCTTGTTCGATAGTATGTAATTTTTAAACTATTTATAAAAAATAACTAACATTTTTAGAAAATTTGTACGAATATGAATAATCTGCGATAGTTTTTCACATTGCAATGTACCCATGAATCAATATATTTTTTATAGTTAAGTCGATTATTTACACATGCTGTATAGTTCATGCAACTTACTTTACAGCAAAGTTGCCATTTATACCAAGATTATACACTTATAAATAATTTGGAAACAGAGCTGCATTCAATACGGCCGCCTTTGGCTGATTTTTAGTACGGTACTTTGGTCTTTTAAATTTACATTCAATTTAATTTGCATTCAATACGGCCGCCTTTGGCTGATTTTTAGTACGCTACTTTGGTCTTTTAATAATAAAACGGACTTTACGGCAGCGACTGAAATCAGCGGACTTTGAGTTTGGCCGCCTCTTAATCCAGCAATCTTAATTTGGCCGCCTTTTAATTCAGTGGACTTTTAATGCGACAGCTATTTATTATGGCCACTTTTTGTTATGGCCGCCTTTAAATTTGTTGTTTTTTTCATTTGGCCGCCTCAAAAGGCTAGGCACGGCTCTGACTGCATATATGCACTATAGTGTATAGAAAACAAAACCATAACACCATATAAATTTACATTGCTCCGCCGGTGCGATTTTTGATATAAGTACTTACCGTAATAAATTAAAGCCTTAGACGTAATAAAATTGCATAGTATTAAATAAAACTAGTGGGGTGGGTGGCATCGTGCCTTAAGGCAAATTGCTGGAACTTCCCGTACCGTAACAAAATGTTCGAGGAATACTGAATGTTTTCAAATAGATCATTATAAATATTGTAACATTGTCTAATATTTATAAGAATTATATAAACTGAATTGCAAAGTTGAAATTATTTGTTTCAACAAAAAACTAAAAAAAAAAAAAAAATCGAACAAAAATTTTTTTTCCAAAATCAATTATTTTGTTAAGACAAGCGGAAAGTTTTTTGAATCATTCAAATCGGACGCTTAGTTCTCTCAAAAACTGCCATTTTTTACATATTTAGCTCCGTATCTTCGAAATGGCTGGGCCTGCCTTTGCCAAAAACTAATAAACACTTCTCCCAATCATTACTAATTGAATGTTTTATAGATCATTCAAATCGGATACTCCGTTCTCTCTAAAATTCGATTTCTATTTTCCGCACTCTTTGCTCCGTATCTCCGAAACGGCTGGACCTGCCTTTGCCAAAAACTAATCAGCTCTTTTCCCTATCAATAGGAATCGAATGTTTTTTGAACCATTCAAATCAGTTGATCCGTGCGCCCTAAAACGTGACTGGAAATTTGTATCCACACATACATACACACACACACACACATCCATTTTTTCTGAGGTATGCCAAAATGTTCAGAAACCTTCAAAACGTCGAGAAATGTAAAAATTTTCAATTCCGATTTTCGGCCCATTACAATAACTTACCCTACGGGAAGTTAATAATATAATAAATATTATATAAAATGGTGAGGAAGTTAAAATCACAACTATTATTATGGAATAAGAAAAGTTACATTATTATTAATAATGCTATCTCTTTAACAGTAACAGCAAAAATTTAATAGTATAAAAAAATCTGTGAAAAAAATCGCGTTTATGATCAAAGCTATATCAAGACTTGCCAGTGCTGGATTACCCCATAGGCCTGAGGCCCGGGCCTAGGGCGGCACCATTTGGGGGGCGGCAAATTTTTCAGAATGTCAAAATTTTAAATCCGAAAAATTGTCACGGCAATTTATTTTAAGCATTGATCCTGATCTCGATAATTTTGTGTGAGATAGAATGTTATTCGTTTTCTAATCAAACTTATTCATGGGCACCTCATCAATATTTTTATTGATGTATCATGTTTAAAATAAAATAAAAAATCAAATTGATAAGCTTTTTTGGGAAAAATAAAATAAAATAAAAAAAAAATTGGGAGAAATAAATAATTTCATAATTTTTAAAATAAAAATTATTAAATTGATAAGCTTTTTTGGGAGAATATTGAATCTCTGTTCATTTCTTGCAACTTTGTTAAGATGAATTTTACATACAAAACGCTTAAAATGGTTTTAAATAGTTTCATATTTTAGCTCGGAAATTAACATAACGTATTAATTGTTATTTTATGATAATTTAATTATTTCGTTGTTCGTATATATTTTTAACTTCCTCTAGGGTAAGTTATTGTAATCGTCCAAAAATCGAAATTGAAAATTTTTACACTTCTTGAGATTTTGAAGGTTTCTGAACATTTTGGCATACCTC